CCACTACATTGGTAAGTTAACAGCAAACAGCTGTAGAAACTCAAATTTTTCACGTGTGTAGAAATTGTATTAGGATAAGTTTTAAGGATTCGGATATTTACCTTGCTCTATAAGTAGGACTTCATATAAATTTACAAAATATTAAATGAAATTTAAATATGAGACACTTTAAAGCAAGAAAACCAAGATTAGAAGAAAAAAAATCATACCTCAGTGAAACTTAATTACTCAAATTTCTCGAGGAATAAATTTTTAAAATATTTAGACTTCTTACTAGATTAAAGCAATTTAAGTACTGGATAATTACTTAGTTTAGTTATTTATCTAACTAGTTAATTTTTGGTATTGGCGTCTCTGTGGATGTACAAGTACGCCGCGAAAGAGTTCCTAGTCGATCGTGTCTCTCCATTGAAAGTATCCGTTCCATTCTGACTCCCAATCTTCATTATCAAGGCCTCTCCTTTCCTTTGTCATTCTACATCACTTGCCCTGTCTTTTTTTCTTCTTTCTGTGTCCTCCGTATTAAGTCCCTCTGCTGTGCAAATAAAAGTTCGTTCATGCTAACAGTGTTTGTTTCGTATTTCTCCACGAAGAATAGTTCACTTGTGGCAAGCGCGCCTTCCGTCAACTACAAGACCAACACTGCTGATGACCCAACATCAAATAACACCAGGAATCTGTACAGAAGGTTCTTAAACTCCGAAGACAGTGACTGAATTTTTGTCACACGTCGCAAATAGGAACAGCTAATGAAACCGAGAAATTAACCGTGCGGTTCAGAGACATCGGAAGCAGTTTGAGGTGGGGTCGGGGGTGGTGTTAATCAAATTAATCGCTAACCCCTGCCTCAGCAAAGAGGCCAGTGATGTATTCTGAGAATCTGTCAGCAAATCAAAATATTTTCAACTTGTCTGTCGCTGTACTATTCAGTCTCTATGCTGCGTGTTTATTTATCAGTATTATGCCATGTGTTTGCATGAAGGAAATGCGATGGTATTTCTTATCATGAATGGCTGCCATATGTGTTCATTGTCTCCATATCTTTCATCTTTCCTTTTTCTGTCTTTATGAATGCTTGCGCCGATCTCAAAATCATCTTCCTATTTCTGTTTCCTTTGTTCTACTCATTTCCATTTGTCTTTCTAATTTGAAATTTTCTTTGGTAATTTGTTTTCAATCTTCTCAACACTTCCTATACATTCAGTATCTTACATATTTTACAAGGTATTTTTTTATCCAGTGGTCCGTAGCTTAGCTAAGTTTTTACTTCCCTTTGTCTCTCTCAGCTTACATGAATGCCTCACTTCAGTACCTTATGATGACAAATGTGTAAAAACACGTTGTGGAATTCTTGGATAATAAATTTTTTGGTCCCTAACCTCACAAATTATTACTCTGAAAAATAGCACTCTCTTGGGCCAATGACATAAGCAGTAGATGACTAAACTTATGCCACGTCTCTCTCTCAAAGAAATCATTTAGTCAGGATGGGTCGAGTTTTACGGCACTTATCGGACAGTAAGGTGAAGACGTACGGCACTTATCGGACAGTAAGGTCAAGAGACGTACGGCACTTATCGGACAGCACGGTCAAGAACAGAAGATACTCAGTGGGGTATCAAAAAAGAAGCGTGCATTTATTCAAAGAACAATTTCATTAAAATTGAGCAATTAATATCAGACATACATTTGATATTTGAAAACAGTTTGTCTGAAGATGGAGCATAAACTCTGAGTGCACTATAACCTAATCTACATATTCCAGAGTCAGATGCAACGTTCATATATCTGTATGTTGTGTTGACGATCCTTCAGTTCATTCAAGTAACGTTATTGAAAATTCGGCAGCCAATGGTAGTGAGTTTTATTTTGATGCAGATATATGTGAAGACTTAATAATTTAATGAGATATATTGGAAATCTTATTCTTTTAAATTTTATGACTTATATGTGTAAATGAAACTGAATTTCAATTTCTTACATTGAACTTTTTGCTACTTTGAACAAATACCATATAGTATATACTGAAGGACGAAGAATGAAAAATGTTTTAATCTGAAATGTTTGTGACCTTGTCATTTATTTATTGGCATTTTACTTTATTTGTTTAGAACTGTATGTACAAAAATGTTAAAAATTTGTTAAATAAAATATGTTATGTCTTGTGTGGTTGTATTTTGAAGCAGATACAGATAACAATTTTCAGCCATACAGAGGTAAGTCTCTGAATTCATTACAAATTACTGATTTCAGACACATTACTACGTTAACAGTACCACACAGTTTAACACTTTCAGGTCCCCAGTCACACCGAGTCTGACATTTGTAGCCCTGTTTTGGTACAATGATACCTCAACAGTTATGAAATATTTGTGATTGGGTTACCATGGAAATACATTTTTAAGCATTAATATAGAGTTTTATTGTAATACTTCAGTTCACTATTCTAGAAGAAGCTAGCAAAGATTGAACAATCTTTTGTTGTCTTGCATTTGTTCTATATCCTGATGTTTGATAATATTTAGACACATGATGTTAGTATTTAACATTAAATGTAAAATACTTTTTAAAGAAATATATGATTTTTTCGAAACAAAAACATAAAATAAATCTGTATAGACTTAGTTGATCACTGGAAATATAAGCCTACATTGTAATGGCAGTAGCATTAGTATTTTAAAATGCTTGATTTCACATCTACATGAATGTTGGAGGTTATAGATGGGTAAACTCTATCCATGTTAAGCTACCTATTAATTTAAGCATTCTTAGGAATAACATATGTTACATACATTACCTAAAATTCCACTGGAAAATTTAGTCTTTGCTCTTCATTTCTGAACCTCTAGGTAAGTTGTAACCTCACTCCTCAAGATTGTCTAGATTAATATGTTCACTAACATTATTTCTTTGTAATAAAATTGCTTCATAATGACTTAAAAACAGGCCATATCCAAACTTCTGTTCAATTAGTTAGGCAGTGATGCTGAGCTTTTCTGCAATTTGAAGGACATTACTGTCTAAATGTGCTTGAGTTAAATTACCTTTTATTATAAGAAATCTATTTACTTTGGTCATTCACATCTAAGTCTGTGCCTGAAGACGACCTGGTTAAATTTCAATATGTAGTAGACAGTGAAATAATTGCTGTAGATTAAAAAGTTGTGGAGCTAGTTCTCATATTTTTATTGCTAGCATTTATATCGGATGTTGAGTGGATCCCTTGTCACCATGCCATGTCTCATCTTGTTTTGCACATGGAGGAGAAGACCAGCAGATACAAGAGGTACTTGCTAATGTATTATTAAATAATCAGTTAATGCAGCTGACAAGGGGTGATCCTCTAGCTTGGAGGTTGAGTGAGAGGCTAATAACATCTTTCCTTAAAAAAATTGTGTTGATGAAATGTATCATAGTGTTTTAGGCTTGGACAGGGAAAAAAACAGTTTGAAGTTGGTAAGATTTGAGGTTTTCATGGCAGTGAGTCTGAAGATTCTGGGCTGCTGTGCCATGTAGTTTGGTAGAAGCAAAACCCTAAAAAACAGCCATCTGTATTAAGTTGGACTAGAAATAAACACACCAGATTGCAGGACAAAATCATTTAAGTGTGTCTAAAAATCTGCTGAAAATGTGGCAAAGTTCAGGTATTTTGGAAAATAGCAAGTACTATTTAGGACAAGGGCCCAGGATTTTTTTAAAATTAATAATGAGCCTTCGGGTTCCATGAAAGGATTGGAATTTCTTAACTAGCAGAGTGATGGGTAATATCTAAGGAAGGAACCTGCTCCATGGAATTCGCGTTTAAATCAGTATTTTGTTTTCTTTTTTTCATAACATGTCAAAAATTATTTTTATATGCGGAAATTATCTCATATGTAGTTTAGATTATTACTTGACTTTTTTACGAAGTTATCGAAATAAAGTATTCAAAGTTGGGTCTGAATTTTATTTAGGGACACATATTTCCCTAAATGGATGTGGCTATCCTGATTCATTCTGTCGATTCTGCCAGCAGCAGAAAATCGATGCTGGGTGAGAAAGGGTGGTATTATAGACGTGTAGAAGTGAATTCGTTGTACCATTAAGGCTATTGTGAAAGTATTTGAAGGCGGAGGATATTGTAAGAGTTAGTTTCTGAGAAAGTGACGTTACTGTTTAAAGCAGCTGGTTATATATAATGCAACAGCTTTACAGGTACCTTTATAAAACACCGAAGAATTATTAAGGTCGATAAGTAATGAGAATTCCATCTGCGTTTTCTGTCACTGGAAACTACATTTTTATTATTCTGGATGCTAAACATTTTGACAGTACTTTGAATTGCATGCACACCGATGAAGTTAAATTCTTGTTTCTGAATGTTTACTCCCCTTTGAATATTTTTGTTTTTGACGTGTCTAACATTGCAGACGTGAGCAAGTGTATATAATAAATTTGCTTTCTCTGAATTACCACGATTTTTTAGGTGAACCAATAAGGATGAATTTAGTTTCTTGTGACACTTTTGTGGTACTTCCACCACTTACTGCCCATGGTGGTGTCATTTTCGGTAAGAATTCTGATCGCCCTTATGGAGAGGTGCAGGAATTGGTATATCGACCAGCACAGCAGCATCCTGCAGGAGATAAGCTGCAGGTAAATAAAAATACCGTGATCTCGTATGGGGCTTCAGTTTTTTGCTTGAAAGTGTGGTTGCCTTTTGGATTATTTTCACAGCATAATCAGTATCCCACTCAGAAGGACATTAATAGTTGTATTAGTGCAGCTAAATAATAAGTATTGATCACAAAATTGTTGACATTATTCCTTTAAATTCTTACGTTTTCTACACCAAAGGCCGTTGAACACCTTCGACTTCAAATTTACAAAAATTACAAGGCACGTTGACTTACGAGAGTACATGTTACGGTATCCCAGAGGGCTGTCATCTTTATAGTCACTCAGTCAAGAAAGTTTCAACCTGACTGAGGTTTTTCTCAGTGCTTCTAATCAGATGCCAGGATAGTACCAGACCATGATTGCATCCTTCAATATCCTTTCTAGTTTATTATTTATTGTATTATTTGATGCTATAATCTGAGCTAGTAATAACATACAGAGATATTTGTATTGTTTTGTTACAATCATCAGATGTAGCTATTGCCCTTCAGATGCAAGTGCATTGTCTTGTTCCAGTGCACGTACATCACTGTGGAGCAAGTAGACGCAACGCAGGCTGTAATTCTCAGCAAACCAGCATGGATGTGGGGGGCTGAAATGGGGGCCAATGCTAATGGTGTTGTTATTGGCAATGAAGCTGTATGGACCAGACTGGGCAGCCCTTCAGACTGTGATGAGAAGTTGCTGGGAATGGATCTGGTTAGGTAAGCTGCAACATTAAAATAAATTTATACATTTTACCATAAGAATTTTCAATGAGAAAACAGCAAGATTGACAGATAATGTTATTTGTTATTACTGTCATGTAAATGCTGATACATGGCAACTTTTCAGTAAGTATTTTTCGTGTCATCGTTTCCAGGTTAGGTTTAGAACGTTCACAGACTGCAGAACAAGCTTTGGAAGTAATAACTGAATTGCTAGAGCGATACGGACAAGGCGGACCGTGCTCAGACTTAATGACAGATTTTACGTATCACAATTCATTTATCATTGCTGATCCCAAAGAGGCTTGGGTGCTGGAAACTGCGGGAAAGGTCTGGGCTGCCGAAAAAATCACAGGTTCGTTTTTATTTCCATTTCCTTTCGGTGTTCTTTCAGAATTAATTTCTGTGTTAGTGCTGGTTGATATGATTTTGGAAATTTCTGTCTTATGTAACTAGCAGGGCCGAACAGATCTCAGGATCCAACTCATAAATACCACTTATCCCTTCTCAGGTTATACAACTCATGAAAGTGAAATTTTCCAAATTGTTGTGCAGTCAAAACTCATTGGCCTTTGTAAGATACTTTTAGTTGATACATGCTTCAGATAATGTTAATTAGTTTTAATTATTGTTCTGTCTTTCATTTCCTTGTTTCTTTGGTAGCTGGATGTCGAAATATCTCAAACGCTTTAAGTATTGGGACCAAAATTGATAGAAGCTCTGCTGATCTGAAGGAAGTTGCGCAAAAGCATGGATTTTGGGATGGTCAAGTGAGTGCCACCATGTTTTTGTTTTTGTTTTGTTTTTTTGTTTTCCCAAGACATCTGCTGTATCTAAGAACTCGTGTGTTTTGTTATTTTACTGTAGAAACAGTTCAGTTTACAAGTAAAGGTAAACTATACATGAAGGCCATGTCTTTATTCTTTAGCAGTTCAATTCGAGTTTCTGTGTTTCAGGGTGACTTCAATTTTGCGAGTGTTTATTGTAAAAGTAACGGAAGTGGTTCAGAACGGGAAATCTGTGGACGTAATCTCTTGAAGACCTTGTCTGCAGACAATACCTTCGATGTATCCAATATGTTTGAAGTTCTGAGAGATGAAGATAGCGGAATTTGTCGCAAGTCAGGTGATCCCTTTCCTACAACCGGCAGCCAGGTTAGACAACATTTGAATGGAAATATGCTCATTTCAAGCTCCCTTGCAGGCGTACTTCACCTTTAAACATTTGTCACAGTTCTCAAAGACAGTGCAGCTGGTGTAGGATCCTTCTTGAGGAGCTGATAGTCACTCATCTCATCAAGAAACTCCCTACCTTTTTTCAACCCAAGGATTCATTATAATGTCCACAGTACCTCATCGCTTGATCTTATTCTGGGTCAGCCGAATCCATTCCTTAATGGGCAGGGTTTGTTTAGGTTGAAGTAACAACAAATAAGTAAATAAATAATTTAAAAAAATTTAATGATCCAAGGATTAATCAGTGCAGGTATATTATAATAAATTTCCAACCAGGTTCTGAGTGTGTTAAGGTTACATAATTAAATAAAAAATATATGTTTGTCAGAGTTCCATATGAGAGGCTATGCAGAAATGTGTTGTTTAAGGTGTCGTTATTAAGTGCGCCAGGCAGTGGGAAACCTCATTGTCATTGGTTTACTGCGACTCCAAATCCTCGGGCGTCTGTTTTCAAGCCATTTATATTTACTCCTGCGGCAAGAATTTCTCAGCATACGTGCAGCCCGACGTTTGAAAATGATCCTGCTAAGGTATGCATCTTAACGTTCTGTACTACTATCTAGGGGATTTTTAAGGTGACTGGTGATTTAAGAAATATAACTTTGTGCCATTCATTCTGAAACCTCAAATTATATTATTTAAGTGAAAATAAATAAATTCTTCCGCTCTTTACAGGTAGTTCCTCGCTTCCAGAGAAGAGTGGATCGAGCCCACACGCTTTACAAATTGCATGCAGGAGCTAGCGATAGTGCTCGTTCCCTTCTCAAAGATATGGAGTTGAGTTGTGTGGTAGAAGTGAACAAGTTCCTGGAGGACTTTGCCCCTGGGCAGAGTCTTAATGAAGTCGATGATCTCCTTAAAGATGTTGTTGAAACGGAAGTCAAATTCTACAAATAAATAAGTGGCTGGAGACAGAATCATATTTCTAATCAGGTTGGGTAAGAGACAGTTTCTTCTTCACCTTAACTGCGAAGAGCACAGCTGCCTGTTGGATCACATAGTCTTAATAAGGATGTTATCATTAGCATTGTTTGTCCTCAGGCACTTTGTTTGGGGAAGAAAATTGCAAGAAATTGCTATCTGAGAAATTTTGGGTGGGGATGGGAGTAGCACATGAACATGTGACATGAAGTGCTTTGGCTTGTATAAATAAATCTTTGAGTTACATTCAGAGTTGTAATTTTGAAAATTCAGGAATAATTTTGCAAGCATTATTAGCAGTTCATTGTTTTAATTCAATGATTAATACATGAATGAATATCCACAAGAGTAGAACTTTTACCTTAGAAGCAGCAGCTGATTTTTTTTTGAACACGTGGTTTTGAAAGTGTAACATTTTATTTTTTGTCATTTATTTTAATCCTTTTATTTTTGGAGAAAGAAATTTTGAATAGACGACTGCACTGGTTGTAGAGTGTGTCCATTGATGTGTGGTAAATTTTTAAATCTTTCAAAGATTTTAGGTTTTTACAGCGGTGAGTATGAAGAGTTCTGTCTTCTGGGTTGTTGCGCTGTGTAGTCTCGTCGATGTTAACCATCGTTTCAGACCTCATACTGCCTCCATCATCAGGGCGATGAATATGCCAATAGGGTGTGAGGTGCTAGGTTTATAAGGCCGGACTGTGAATGGAGTAGCCTGCCCCAAGCCAGTGGGAGCAGGCGTGGGAGTGGACCCTCTCTCTTTCCTTTCTCTCCCTCTCTCTCACACTCGCCCACGCACTCCTGTTGGTCCACTCCCATGCCTGCTCCCGTATTTCTGCTATATGGGTTTATTGGACTTTTGACACATTTCATGGCTGGAATCCAGTTTTCCATTTGTACAGTTCCTATATAAGCCGTCAGGAGTGTATGAGCCTGATCTCTTAACAGAATTAGATTTGAAAGGCTATACTTTTATACTTTCTTCATAAATGATTGGTTGTGATTGTACTGAGGGATTTTTAATTTCTGTAATTATTTATTGAGTTGCAGTGATTGAATGCAGTATTCTCTGGTTGCTAAACTTCACCTTGTGGTTTCATGATTAGTTCCAGTCCCAGTTTATGGTAAGGTAAACATGTTGCTTTTAAGTCGGTATTCACTGTGCACCCATTCAGTTCTAAAGCAGTGGTTGACGAATTATATTAGTAATTAGGACAGTGTGCGCTATTTGGAAGCTGCTTTAAAATAGTGTGACGGGAAGAGTGTCGAATGGGAGCCATTAATTATGTAGTGACATGGGTGCAGTAAGATGACCTTTGTTTCCTACTGTGTACTATAGGATGAGGACGTTTTAGCATTCAGACAGGAATTTCTTACATAACAGACTATTGAGCTTCCTCATGTAAAATATCTGATGTGACGATCATACAGGGCTGTCTGTTTTGTGTTCTTACAGTACGTGGATTCTAATAGACATTGCTTGAAAATAATGTTTGTCAACTCAGCCAAGGAAACTTAAATTCACGGTGCTCAAAACAATTGCTTTCAGTTTTCTCATTTTTTTAAATTCATGTTAATATTTTGGCACAGTTTTGACTAGCAAAGGAATATATAGCTCGAGTAGGTTGGCATAATTTTTCAGATCCTGCTATTATGTTTAATATCTTCAGTTTCAGGCAGACTATAAACTGAATCAGTTTGAGGAATTTACTGATTATATAAAATTAAGCCCAAAGGTTTGTACTCATAAATATCTTTACTATAAGCACAGCTTTGCATATGCATATGCAGTTAACCTTGCCTCGTTAAGAACATTTGTAGCTGGTACTGGCATTTAGTGTTGTTTAGGTTTGACTGATGGTACGCAAAATACTTGTCAAGCCTTGCAGCGAATTTTTAAGTATTTATTTTTTGTATCGTCTACTCTAGAACCGCTGGATAAATTGTGGTTTAGAGATATCATCAGTAGGATATACATCACATACACAAGTGTAGCTTTTGTGATCAGTTTCAAGAAACATTTGAAGCACGGGAACAATAAAATGAAAACGAAATTGCACAAATGGTAACAGGTAAACAAATTTCTTAATGTATGTGCTGATATGTGAAAATATGTAGATTACTTAACTGAATTAGGAATGTTTGAGGCATAATGTGTTCAGGAGCAGTGTGTTAAAGTTCGTGTGTAATGAGTATTTGAACATTTTGGTGTAAAGTCAAAGAGAATTTAAATCATCAAAATAATTTATAATTCTGAAGATCATCAGCTCAAACTACATGTATGCTATTCAATGAATTAAACCAGCTTTTCAAATGCTTATTGCTTAGCAACAAAGACATGAATTATGTGATATTATATAAGTAGATAAAATTCTTGTTCAGTTTCAAATAAATGTATTGTAACATACAATCTTATTATTTTATGAGGTACTCCATATATCAGTGCACAGCTAGTTGGAGAACATTCACACATCCTGTACGAAAAGAAAAATATGAGATTTCGTACATTATATGATGATGTGTTTTAAAACGAATTCTGAAGATTGATCCTTTTGGATCTACATATTTTGTCTCAACAATGTCCAATAAATTTTATTTGAATTTCTTAGTTGTTGAACTCAGTCCAATATTGGACTGTAATATGATTTACTGAACGTTGAACTGAGTGCAATAGGTGTCCACTTTAACATTTTCATGCAGTGCATTTCTCAGTGCCCGTCAGCTAGGCGTTAGCCAGCTAGTTTAGGTATGTAGTCACTGCAGGCATCAATGTCAACATCAATTTAGGTGTCCAAATAAAATACACCAATGTAGTTAAAATGCAATAATTAAAGTTGAATTGTAATTCTAGTTATGATTATGTGTGGAACACATTAGGGTATGGAAGATGTGACAAGTAATTTGTCTTGTAAATATGCAGTATACTATAGAACAACTGAAAATCATCGAGCTTAAAAATTTTGACACTGAATTATGACAGTTTTGTTATTAGGAGTCAAAGTAACTGACATGTCTGTTAACATTCATGCTACATGACTGCAGCATTGAAATGTTGCATCGATACCAACAAACGAAAGTGGATATCGTTAGATATTTCTGTTAGTAATTTTCTGTCTGCAGTATTGGTAACATAGTCGGCCATCGATTATGTTCTGATGTGACATCTACCGTAGTACTTAGAAGTTCCATCAAATCACGTGACACGCTTACTCGCTTTCGTGTGCCTCTTACTTTGGCATTCTGCTACGGCAAACGTTGGTTGCTGTTTCGGTGCGCAAAATTTGGCAATAAAAATGGCATTATTTCGCATAACGGCTTCGCGAATCACCGAAACACATCAGGTAAATATTTAAAATCCTATTAATAACAATAAATTCGCTTTTATACAACATTCTTATTGAAAATGAATAAATCTTGCACATACGACTCTGCTAGTGAATGTAATATATCGTTGTGCTGCATGAGACAGGTGTAAAATGAAAATAGCTTATCCTTAGTGCTTGAAATTACACATCCTATATAAATATCGAAAGTAATTTGAGTAAGCGGTTGATTTGTAAAGATGTTATCTGTAGTAAGACATGCGGTCTTTACTCCATATGAGATAATTTATATGGCACACAACAAAAATTGCAAACCATCTCCGCTTTCCATTGATCATCACATTATTCACATTAATGGGCCCATGAGGCAGCATGCTTTAGTTTTTAATAGTCATTTGTGCGGTGGACGCACAAATACCAACTTCGTTTACGTTTCAAGGACTACGAATGATCATGGGAATGTTATATAAGAAGAGTTCACCGTGAGAGCCACTCACGCAACTGTTTAGACAGTCAACCGTATCGGAAGCTTTAATAAGAGTTCATCAATCAATGTTATGAATATGCAAATACGTGACTTGTTTTTCAGGAACAGAATTGTTAAACAGGTGTATTTTTTACTAACGCTGAGGGTACTGACATTGTGGATATTACGTTTTCATGAAATGTGCAAAATTTTCATTAGAGTAAACGACTTAATATTTTATTCCTCTCATTGAGGAAGTGAGCCTCGAAGGCTGTCATTTTAAAGAAAAGTGTGGAGAAAAGATTTGTATTGTAGTATCAAGCTTGAAAGAGTCCTGAGCATGAGCCTTGGGTGAAGCTGAAAATTAGGTGAAAGCACCTCACCCTCCAAAAAGAAAAGTTAACTAGTTTATTAAATTTTATTTGAACCTCTGAAGAGCAGTGTCACAATTACTTTAATTTGTTTGAGAAGTGTAAATCTGAAGTTTCAGAAATCTAGTAATTTTCTTTCTTGCTGTGATCTTACCATGGGGTGGGATTGCTGATTTGCTGTGTGGTCATCATATTTCTGCCACGTGTAATTGATTGAATGCTTTTACTGTTCGTGCATTTTAAAAGAATGTAAATAGGAAAGTACTGCTTTTGTTGCATCTAAACTACTAATATTATCTGCCTGCCTCTGAAATTTCTTCCTAGCGCTCGGTGCTGGAACACACTGACATTTATTTTTCAGAATCATATAGTTTCGTTATTACACAAGCCTTTCTTGAAGAGAAACATAACCTACTTCGGTACAAATTAGATGGATTATAGTTACACTAATAGAAATATACATCTTAGTACAGTTGTCTGTGAGTCTGTCATTGGTCAGTGAAGCTGTATAGGCAGGAAGAGGTCAAGTTCCTCACATGTACAGAATATATTGTAAAGCACCTTCCCATGTATTTATTTATAGTTTATTTAACTGCGCTTTTTTAGTATCTCAGGCTGTGTAGCTTCGAATGAGAGGGCGATGGTGAATAATGAATTGGAAAGGAAGTGGTCATGGCCTAATATAAGGTACTATCCTGGCATTTGCCTGGAGGGACTGAGGAAAACCACAAAAAACCCAGTCAGGATAGCCAGTCTCTGAGCCGAGATCTGACCCTGGGACCTACCTAATACCTAATACAAAGCAGAAGTGTTAACCACTCAGCCGTGATGTTTGGTCCTTTCCTTGTAGACGTGGTGAGTGGAACTATAGCTGTACACATTCTTAACCTTGACTCACTTTACTCCTGGGAGGCCCAGAGTCAGCTTTGGTCTTGTGGGAAAGAGAAGTGAACCCTTGCTTCTGCAGGGAATCAAACCCAGTTGACCAGCGCGTGTCCAGCTGTTTTGCTGACAGATCTATCCTGCCCAGATAATACAAAAAATTTTGATATGTGTTAAAAGTCCATCGCTGAATCTCATCCTGATTCATTTCAACACAGAATCAGTACATTACTATGCATAAAAGTATGGCCGATTTTTAAGTGGACAGTAATGATTTTTTTGTATTTATATTTAATAGCAAATATTCAGTTCACTGTGTAAAAAAAAATTTAAATGTGCATGTGTGTTATTTTGGTTAAGATGGACAAGAATTTTGTATTTCAGGTGCCTGTGTGATTGCCAAATATCATTTTGGTTTTTTAGATCTATGGATTTGAGATATAATTCGAAAATTTATGTAAACCGTTGCCGTAATAGGAATCTGTATGTGTTTTGGTCTCTTTTAACATTTACTATGGCTCTGGGTGCTGCTGTATGTACATCAGTGTCTAATACCTTATGTAAAGGAAATGTCCTGTTTTCAGCATAATATTGCTTATGCGTTAATTACAGAAAATAAAGGACTTTATGAGATCCGCATTTTATTACTGTGTATGTATGATTTTAGAGTTTTTGAAGAAGGTATATTAACATGGAAATATGTTACACACCCACAAAATATTAAGAAAAAAACAGACTTTATCAGATGAACTTTTGATGACAGGTTTTTTATTATATCCCATAGTTGTGTAAGCTGTGCTGGGGAAACAGCTCTTAAGATACAGAGAGAATAGTATTCTGGGAATAGCCTTCTCTTACAGATATGGATAATTGAAGTAGTCTTTAAGTGAGAGGGAGATAATAATTCAAGGCTGCTTTATGTCTTGCAACATTATGTTGGCATTTTTTATGAATAGATATTTAACATAGATATTAAGGTAGAATTTATTTATGTTATTCCATCGTATGATTGAGCTATTCCAGGACCATTGAACATATATGATTGTCACGTACAATTTATATAAATTGTTTCTTAGAATTGACAGGAACCTGGTATACATAACAATCATTCCTTGTTGTTGAGTGTGTTGGTGTAATGGCAACCCTGTTGAACTTATATCAAGGAGATAACTGGTTAGAATCGTGGCCAAGTTACTGGTTACCAAGACGTTTCATAAGAAGATAGGGTGTTTGCTGGTGAGAATTTGATTCTTCTGGTGTAGAACATCATCTTGTGGCGGGCTTCTGGGGGGACAGTAATGAACCTTTGGTTTTCATAACAGGCTTGAGGTTTTGGAACAGTAGTTGCTTATTTATTTTGACCAGGGCCCCATAAATATGAATGCCCTCTTGATATGGTCAAATTGACAGAGGCAAACAGCAAGTCCATAACTGTGTGAAACTGTGACATTTTATTTTGTATATGGAATGAAAATAGTGAATTCAATGCTCAATATTTTTACCAGTGAGTGTTTTCTACAGGTTTAATACCAGTTTGATTTATTTATAATTTGTGGTATACTGGAACCATCTATAGGGTGGGATATCTCATTCAGTTTAGTGACCCTCATCTCCAGATTGGCTCTTTATGTGAGGAAAAATGGCCAGAACATGAAGCTGACCACTCTCATGTAATGCCTAGGTTAAGAATGAATGGAGTTATACCTCCACTACCATATGGCATGGTACTGAACTTATAACAAATAGAATTGTAACTGGAAACGTCATTTAATGTTCTTCAGTTTAAGGTCTTCCAACACTTGGTGTCTTTTAATTGTGGACTTTCTTTTGTTTTCAAGCTAAGTCGGGTAATAATTTAACTGTTAAGTTTGATTGATAAGCATACGTATCGTCAGCAAGTTTCCTAGCCTTTCTTTTCATTGATGGTGAGACAGAACTGTAACATGATTTTAAGCGTTGAAGGTCAAGGTTAGATTGTAAAGTGTGCGAGACTTGAGTTCCTGTACTTGAAGGCTACCATTATTGCTTAACAGTCCTCAAGGACGTTAGTTTGTTTGACCGCTGTTAAAAGATCTTACAGGACTATTAGACATGAAAAACGTGTTAATCTCTGCCTTGAGGAGTGTTACTATTACTTAGCACTTCCATTTAGCAAGTGTTATTAATGAAACTTTCACTTAACAAATAACTCTGTTGCATATTCCTAGACAGGTCCTGGGTTAAAATCTCGGCCCAGAGACCAGCTATCCTGACTGGGGTTTTCATGGCTTTACTCAGTCCCTCCAGGAAAATGACGAGTTAGTACCATAATTAGACTGTGACCACTTTCTTCCGCATCTTTTCCAATTCCCTGTCATCCTATTATTCGATGCTTTATAGCCTGAGCAACTGAAAAAGCATCGTTAAATAAAATACAAATAATTAAACTCACACAAGTCAGAAATTTTAGAAAGTTGACTTAACAGGGAGTGAAAGGACACAACTAGTAGCTTGATCCATGTTACAGTAAAACAGCTGTTTTTATTTTCATTATCATACAGAGGCCATGTTTAAGAGCTTGAAGATTAATGTCTTTGTTTGTTGTCCAGAAAGTGTTACCAGCCCTGACAGTTGTTTTGCGCAACCTCTCAGATTCGACTGACTTAAAGGCTATACTCAATAAGAAGGTTCCTGTGAAGAATTTTCGAAAAACTTATGGCGCAACCAAGGTTGGAGAAGTCACGGTTGACATGGTAAGTGTGACCCATATATTTTGTTGCTTGCAGTAGATAGTGCCTGAGAACTCGTAGACCATAAATTTATCATTATATGTCAGATCTTGTTAACATTCATTTCGTATTCTGTCCGTTGCGGGTTTTATGAAACTGCCATTTCAGCCCATATATTGTAATGTGCAAGTAATACATTTTGCCACGGAAGTACTATCATTGCATAACCTGAATTTGGGTTACCAGTGATAATGTAACTGCGGGAACAGGAAAGGAATGAGTCTTAGAGGAGTGTGGGGTGTCCTTCAGACATGTAAATTCCAAAGCACTTGTGGCACAGCTGCAAATATGTCGAATGAGTTACATAACTTGATGGGATGGCAATGTCTTGCAAATTACCTCCTTGAATTAAGTGTGTAGAATGTTTTATCAGTGGACACTGATACTTTTTTTTTGTTACCATGAATTAACATTGTCTGCAGCGTGTAGTGTACTTTTTTTTTAAAGTATTCTCTAACTTAAGATTTCAGTGTTACAAAGTCAGCAGTCTGTTAAACTTCCTGCATATAAGGTTTTCGTCTGGTCACCGTTGAAATTTGGTCTCTTTCAGAGAAACATTAAATAGGGTTTTACTGTACATGTAACAGGAAACTATTCTGTAAGAATAAGCCATTTTACTTCAGTGGGCCTAGCAAGACGTGTCTCACTGGCTGAATTAGTTCACCGGCAGGAAAAGTGAAGATAAGTCCATTGGCATCTGATAATTTTGAGGCATTTATCTCCCAAATGTCTTAATTGATTTTTTTATAGATATGTGAAGAGAGTATCCGCTAGTATATGTTTAAGTTGATGAAAACAACATATTTTAATATTAATGACACTACAGAAATTTTTAGTGGCTTGATATAAGAATTCGAAAATTACATTTTGTCTTCATGGGTACCAGTACTGTCTGTCCTCGTGTTTATGGTTTCTTCCTAGTCACTCTTGTTACATCCATGTTTTGACCTGGTGCCATTTCTTGATCACACTGTTTCATCTTCACAATATGCATGAATAGCACATGCTGTCAGTGCCAAGGACAGTGGGCAAGATTACGATGGTAAGGTCGGTTGATAGAATAATCTTTCAATGAAACCAAGTTCCTTTATCTGCAATTTATAATCCTGTTATAAATTACAAAATTAATATCCTACTGTCACCAGTAGTATGTAGAAACAAAAGGGTAAAGGATTGGACATTTGTATTTGAAATGTTATAACTTCGTATTAATTCTGAATAGTAAAGGCCTTTAGCAGTTGAAGTTATTACATAACAAGGAACTTTGTGGTGTTATGAGTTGCTTAATATTGTTATGATAGTAAAATAATAATGGGCTAGAAATGTATACAGGATTCTGGCGAAGAAACATATTTGAAAGTGCCCTCTTAAAACATGAGAGAGATGCGAGGATAACATTAAGGTGGATGTTTAGGAAATGGGTAGGGAAGCCGATGAAACTATGGATGGAGTTCAACCCTCAGGGACTGTTATCAGATAGTTTGGTATTTCTAAGAAAATTCTTGCTGTAATGTGTTTGGACTGTGGTAGTTATATAAACTGTATTTACATATTGTGGTTATGGTTTTAAAGTGGTTGATAGCATACATTTACATGAGTAGATAGTTACAATATTTATGTATCCAGGTTTGCCAACCGTGTGATGGCTTGTGAAAGAAGCAGAAATATTCTGCGAGCTAAGTGTTGGTCATTTGATATACTGAGATTCTGTATGTGACAGGGTAATATTTTGATTGATCTCGTATCTGGGGTTTGCGCTGTAGATTGGATTTAACTTGCTCATTGTGGGGTCGAGTGGTAGATTTTATGTTGCCCCATATGCCCTGCTTTAAGTGGCTCAGTGTATGACCTGGTACCATATTTAAATAGCCTAAGGCTAATACTGCTTTAAAGAGAACAGCATGTCAGCGATGTTTTAGCTGTTTGGCCTATCGTTGTGTCCATGAGTCAGGATTGGTATTTGGCCTGAACAGGTTGATGGTGTTGAGCTTGCAGATTCTATTGGCAGACCGTTTGCCATGGTTAATATAGTAGCATGTGATTTATTATTGGTGTTATAGCACCTACAGATTGCGCAGCATTTATTGATAAATGATTATGAATTTATAAATGGCTATACATATATCAGCAGTTAAATAAACAGGGTTTGAGACCTGGAGGGTGTAGAGACTTTTATCTTTGGTGCTACTTCCAAATGGATCTAGAGACCAGAGACTGAAGTTTTTTGTGCTTTTCTTTTGTCTCTCCAGGCAAAGGCTGGAATTGTATCTCGTATTAGGCCACACCTGCTTATCCTCTTATCTGACATATAGTGTAGATACTAAAAACATTGTTAAATAAATAAATAAATATTTGGTGGGTATGTGGTGGTCCATTCGAGGGGATAAAGCAGCCACAGCATGAAGCTGCCCACTCTCTTCCATCTAATTCTGAGGTTGAGAATGGATTGTTACCTTTATGGTGTTATGATTAGACATACGGATAACTTTCTGTTTATATTCTAATTGTGTTTGATTAAATAAGAATTAGTACCAAGTTTCCGAATTTTAATTTTGCTGTTCCAGGAATTCACACATAAACTGAAAACATGATATTATATTAGGTTTTTACTCAACTTTTGAGCACAGAGTTACAATTGTAATGGGTTTCATAGTAAATAATTACGAGGTTCTAAAGTCTTCCTCTACTCTTGAGCTCCTGGCCCATATTCACTGGCTGTTTTTTTTGTTGTTACGTAACACATTTGTTCTAAATAGCAGTGCAAGAGTTCTACCGCTGCCCTCCTTTCCAAAAATAAATTGATCTGTTTGTCGTGGTCATACACGTGTAATTTTAGCATAGTGCAGATCACGAGACCTTTGGCAACGACAAGAATACAGCTTGTAGGGTTTGTAAGGGAGGGGCGGGACAGTAGAGGAGTAGGAGGAGTGTCTACATACGTCATGGCTGCTGTTCCAAAATACCGTTACTGTGCCAAAAACACCTAACTATAAAAATAAATTTGTTTGGAATTTTCTTATTCTTTGTGAATAAATTCAGTTACCAGTAATAACTCTACTGTGTATATTTCACTATTGCTTGTTGTTTCTTAGTTTAATGATGTTTTGTCAACTATGTAGATATGTGTTGCTTAATGGTATAACAGTTGTGAATGAATAATTGGAAAGTTTTGGAAGGAATCATTTGTTGTCTGTAAGAAGCATTAGCACCTCTGAAACATCATTTAGTTTCTACAGAATTATTTGGTGTGAAATCCCAGAAGATGGTCATAATTAAAATATATTACAGTGGATTCCAGTTAATTGGGACACATCAGGACTAGAACACTTAGGCCCAATTAAGCGGCTGCCCCAATCATGGGAAGTTCCGCGTAAAGAGTTTAAAAGGTTTGGCCCAAATAAATGGCTACCCCGATTAACGGATGGCCCAATTAACCTGGAATCTACTGTATTGTGATATATGGGAGACTGATATGATAGTTGCTCAGCTTTCATTTCTAGACCTCATTCCCCCTTCTCCCTGTTTGTGTGTTGACATGTAACTGATATGCATAATTATGTGACATGCAGAATGTTAACACATGTCCAACATGATAATGTCAGTCATTACAATAAACATGTTCTTCTTCTTCTTCTTCTCTAAGAAGCAGGCCTTTAGGCCTATTATAATTTAATGGACTTTTGGCTACAAGCGGAGTATTGAATCACAAAAATAATTTAACAAAATATATAATAATTTATATTTAGATAGTTACATAAAGAATTAATCATAAGATTGCCTTATCAAAAAAGTTAATTGTGTCACATCATAATTCTGTTAAGAACTTATACCAACTTTTCTATTAAACTTTTCATCTGTGTGATTGTTATTGTGAATCGTAAATTAATAAGTAATGAAAGCCTGCCAGCCCTGTCCGCAGTCCCATTTCTAGCAGTACATGAGTCACTGTGCTACTTCAGTTTACATTTCTTTTACTTATATACTGTGCTGCTTGTTGCAAGTTTTAAATTAATCACTGCTCTTAACAGCAAATACAGAATGGCATGTGAAATGTTTGCCCGTCTGTTAGAATTTAAGTTTATTATGGAAATGTTTGCAAACATGAAGCACAGTTGTTTATTCTGTGTTCAGATCTCCAGTTTGATCGCCATTCTGTCTTATAAGCTCTTTTCAAGGTTAATGCTAGTGTGTGTATGAGTATTTTCTGACACAAATCTTCTAAAGTTGTGCGGCTCAGCTCACGGTAGAGTCCAGTGACAGGCTTATATGGTGATAATGAAAAAATATACTTGTTCCATAATGAAATTGGACTTACTAAAATATATCACTAGTTCCAGAGAAACTTGGCCTGATTTCCTTTAATTCCTGTACAAATTTCATGTGAACCATCTGGATATTGAACCTGAATATGATTGGAATTTTGTATATTACAAGTAGAAAATGTGAAAATTAATATTTCAGGCAAATTATAGGATAAAGATTTTTTTAATATTGTGAATAACTTTGCAGTGATTTTTACTGTGTGTGCGCATGTGCTCAGTCCAGTTTACCCCTTCACATTCGTTTTTTCTCAAAACCATTTTAATATTATCCTCCCACAGCAATTTGTGCCATTGTGTGTTTTTGACTACAATTTTGAACACATTTTTCTTTTCCTCATAAGTGGTGAATCTCCTACCAAACTTGTCCTCCCTTTTTTAATCATCCTTCCAGTATTAGTGAAGAGTACAAATTATGTAATATTATATACTTTTTTGATGTTAATTTTTTATATACTTCGCACAGATGTATGGAGGTATGCGTGGCATCAAGGGATTGGTGTGTGAAACATCTGTTCTTGATGCTGATGAGGGAATCCGTTTCCGTGGTTACTCAATTCCCGAATGCCAGAAACTGCTTCCTAAGGCTAAGGGTGGGTCTGAACCTTTGCCAGAGGGTCTGTTTTGGCTGCTCATTACTGGAGATGTTCCAAATGAAGCTCAGGTATGAGTAATGGAGTAGACTAGCGACCTAATCTTGCAGTGACTGGCACATTATACTGACAACTATGTATAGTGTTCTGCAAGGTCTCAATAATTGAAATTCCATAATTATCTTATCTGAGATGTCTGCAAGTTTGTAATGATTGCCTTATCTTTACAATATTAATTCTAATCTACAGTCTTAAATATTCCTAACACTGATGTGTGTAGAATCATGTAAAATGTCTTGACCTTGATATGACACTTGGATATGTTCTAAACTTATCACAAAACTTTTGTTTGGCCTATTTTCATGATCTCCAGAATTATTATCATCATCCTTTCACTTTCCCCTCCCCCCCCCATTTTAGCAATCAGATTTATTACCTTTTCAGTTATCCCTCAGATTGAAATAAAATTACACATCTTCCTTCCCCATATGATTTATTTCCTGAAACAGCGTGAACAGCCTCTTTTTATTTTCAGTCAGTCACATATGTCATGAAATAATATTGATTTATAGTTCAGTATAACATTCTTTAATTGGCAGAGGCAGCTTCTTTAGTTATGTCATTTTTGTAACCTATATGTGATGAAAGGGAGAAATTTTTGAAATCAGTGTTACAAGAGCAGTATTCAATAGATCCATTATTTCTTTTGAAGATCAGAATGCGTCATTGAAGTTACATAGTCCAATTTAAATTTTCTGGACCCGCCTTAAATTTTACAGAGAGAAAAAAACTCACTCTCCTTAGCGTATATTTGTGTCACATTGTTTCTTGTTTTGTTAGTAGTTGAGACAGATACAGAACTTTCACAGTGTTATCTATGTACTGCATTATTTGTAGGTGCAAGCAGTTTCAAAGGAGTGGGCAAAACGTGCAGCGTTGCCATCACACGTGGTGACACTCCTGAACAACTTCCCTACCACCTTGCATCCCATGTCGCAGTTCAGCAGTGCCATTACAGCGCTCAATTCAGAGAGCAAGTTCGCCCAGGCATACTCCTCTGGTGTACACAAATCGAAATATTGGGAGGTGAGTTGAGCCCTTTTGGTCGACAATTAATAATTTTAAATTATAACATTGAAGGTATTTTTGTTACATAGTGAAAGAGTGCTGAGGTATGTTTATGTAAAGCTTTACAACTACGCACCACGGTGGCAATTGGGGAGAGGAGAGAAGCAACATATTAGCAAATATTGTATATTTTTCTGTGTGAAAATTCTGTTTGTAATGCGGGGTAACTCTTAATAATTATTCTTTTGACAGTATGTTTACGAAGATGCGATGGATCTAATTGCAAAACTCCCTGTCGTAGCAGCGACTATCTACCGCAACACGTACCGTGATGGTAAGGGTGTTGGGGCCATTGATACTAGCAAGGATTGGAGTCAAAACTTCTGTCAGATGTTGGGTTATGATAACCAAGAATTTACAGAACTCATGAGATTGTACCTCACAATTCACAGGTATCTAACTGTAAGATGGGTATAGAAATTACCGAAAAATTATTTTATTTGGCCATTGTTATCTGTTTTATCATAACAGTAATCTACACCATCACAATATTTTTTGCCTCGTTCAGCTGTCGCTATCCATTTACCACTTCACATTTTAAGGATTAATGGTTGATATATCAAAATGGATGTTCTATAAACTGGGATAACAAAAAATGAACATGATGTGGGAAAACCTTAGATTGAGAGGTCTAAAATCAGTATTTCACTGAATAGCCCTTAGATCCATCTTAATGTCATCCTTTTGTCTCCTACTCAATCTGTGAATGTTCATTGCAGCTTTTAGTGAATACCGTAGAAAACGACATTGGTGGGCATTTCATTTTTATAATGCACATATGGAAATTATTAGTATTTTCAGAAGGAATCCGCTCAGTTAGCTATTTCTGGCATTTCGTTGTAACTTGATCCATTTCGTTTTCGAACAGCGAAGCTGGAGGCCTGGATGGCTAATGCTGAATTTGTCTCTTTCAGTGATCATGAGGGAGGCAATGTGAGTGCCCATACTGTTCACCTTGTCGGCTCAGCGTTGTCAGATCCGTACCTCTCATTTGCAGCCGGTATGAATGGCCTTGCAGGTCCTCTTCATGGTTTAGCAAATCAGGAGGTAAGTGCTTTACTTTTATGCGTTCTTCACACACAGTGCATAGTGAGAATGCACTATTGGCTGGTCATGTCTGTCCAGTTGATTCAACTCGAGAACCACTCGACAGATTTGGATTGAATTTTATGTGGAGGTTGCGCTATTCTGCTCGACCTCAAAATTGTACTTTTGAATATCCTTCGAGTGATGATAATAGAATGATGGACGAGGAAATTCGCGATGTAGACAATGAGGTGCTGCAATCTGGTGGCCAACGTGGAGGCTGTCAAACAAGGCAGATTCAATATTTTTAAATGCACATTGCAAAGAGTGCATGAGGATGTGTTTATTCCTGTACAGAATATACTTTTCAATCTTGTATAATATGAAACACCACTATTTTTGATGTAGGGACTACCTAACTCACTTTTAATACAGTCTGACTCTTAACCTCTGATAATACCAAAGCAAATATTTGATTCTCAGGTGTGTCTGTTTATGTTTCAGGTGTTAATATTCCTCCAGAAATTGCAGAAAGATTTAGGTGATAATGTGTCAGATGATGCACTAAAGGAATTCATCTGGAAGACATTAAAGAGTGGACAGGTGGTTCCAGGCTATGGTCATGCTGTTCTTCGTAAGACGGATCCTCGCTACACCTGTCAGAGGGAGTTCGCACAGAAACATTTGCCCAATGACCCACTTTTCAGGGTAAGAAAAGTTGTCATTTAAAGACTATATATTGCATTACTAGTGATGATAAAAATGGTCTGTACTTGGGATCTTCGGGGTAAAAGAAAAAGAAAAATTTTGGAGTATGTTTTTATATATTATTGTTGTTATTATAATTATTAAAAATATTTAACAGCTGTAATGCATTAGTACCATTTTATTTAGCAAGTTTTTACCTGCAGTTTAATCTCATTTTTGGGGGTAAAATACATATAAAATTTGGTTTCAGCTTTCATAGTAATAAGTTAATCTTCTAAGCCAAGTGGTAATTATATGTACCACCTTCTTTAATGATCATTAAGTCTGCATTTGTCGCCCTCTGTGGACTAATAGTTAGCGTGCTCGCCACTGGACCCAAGGTTTGCGGGTTCAATCCCGGCCAAGGTCGATGGATTTTTAAGGGTGATAAAAAACCGTAGCACAACTTCCTTTGGAGGGGAAGTAAAGCTGGCGGTCCCATGTCGTAGATTTACGGCATGTAACAGAATCTAACGAGCATGATACGAGATGTTTCATAAGCAAAATTCAGCGGCCATTTCTCACCACTGCTAGGTGGCTCTGGCAGTCAAATCAGGAGTGAGTAGAAATTGTGCAGTCACTACTCATAAATGCACGCTTCAAAGACTAGGAAACCTCCGAAAGGAGGCGGCGATGACCCACTACTGGGTTAAGCTACTAATAGAAGAAGTCTGCATTTTGCCCACAGAATATATGTGAAAGCTTTGAATGTTTCTCAGAATGAATGATTATTATTTCCTAGGACACTGTGAATCATTTGATCTTTATAATGAAGCTGTGTTGTGCATAGGAACTGAATGTGTATATTGATTCAACTTCAAATGATTATTACGGTTGGTTTCAAGAAAATGAATTTTTTCCTTCAAAAACATGCTAATTAGGCTGAATATGTTTTGCAGCTGGTGTCTCAGGTGTACAAAGTGGTTCCTCCCATTCTTATGGAGACTGGGAAAGTCAAGAATCCATGGCCGAATGTGGACGCTCACTCTGGTGTATTACTTCAGGTAAGCAAGCTCATTAGTTCTTCTCTGAATGTCTTTGGCGATGATATTTTACTAATTTATTTTGGACTTCATCCATGAATCTGTTTTTAAAATGTATTAAAAATTGCAAACATGACTTGCAAGGCAATGGATGAAGTCCAAAATAAAAGTATAAGCAGTTATTTTATCAGAGTTATAACAAATAAGTGTCCCGCGTGGTCTGAGGCATCATGCTTCGGACCGGCAATACGGAATGCGCTCTGGTTCGAGTCTCGGGGGAGAAGAAATTTTCTCATGAGCTTTCGACCAGTGTATGGAACCGGTGTCAACCCAGCATCGTGAGGAAATTGGGGAGCTACAATGGGTAGCGTAATTCATTCAGGAAAGCTAGCAATGGCTGGGGGTTCGTTATGCTGACCACACGTCACCCTATATCTGTTTGGATGATCGTTCACCTCTGCTTAGGCATGTGAATGTGAGGCCAGCAGTCAAGCTAGTCGGCTTTGGCTCTCTGGACCTGTTACGCCACGGATTTAATTTTTAATTGAATTTGTAACAAATAAGTGGAATAATGTAGCTCTCTTATGGGGCATGATCATACAGCGGGGTCTACCGTATATTACTGGTAATTCAGATGACATCTGTTGATAGTGAAACTTACTACTTTGATTCTGATTTCAGTATTACGGTTTGAAGGAGATGAACTACTACACAGTTTTGTTTGGTGTATCTCGTGCTTTGGGAGTGCTGGCATCTCTGGTATGGGACAGGGCTCTTGGTCTCCCCATCGAACGGCCCAAGTCACTGTCAACCGAAGGACTTATGAAACAGCTCAAGGCTTAGAGACTTGCCCAGTGTAAGTGCGTAGAAGACCAGGAGAGATGCAGAGTTATTAGTGTGCATTCGTGCATGGCTGAGAACATAGGCCTCTTCATTTGTACCCTGAAAGTATTTTACAATATGCAATAATAATTTATGTGTGTAGTGCTTCAGAAAACTGAAATAATTTGACTTTGTAAAGTAGGAAGCTATTTCACTGAGGTGCAATATTCCATAGCCTGGATAAGGAAGGCTCACTGAAATAAGCAGCTGTTTACATTTAATTGCAGACACAGCATACACATAATAAAATGCCGTTGTGTAGTATGCAGATGAGGAGGGCCATTGCATCAGCTCGTGGGTCAAATTACAGCAAATTCATATTCCCATCACCAACCACTGAACATTAAAGAATTTCTAGTGGTTTGTGTGTGGTGAAAATCCATGTGTATGTGTGTCGTGAATGAATGGTAGTGTGGAGTTAACAAAGTAATTTTATTTTGTAGGATTCACTTCTTGTTTTGATTTGTTTTCTAAGACTGAGAACCCTTTTTGACAACAATTTTCATAGGTATTATAACAACTACTGTTGTTATGCGCTACTTATCTGCATTTTTTTTCTTCCAAGTTCTTGTAGATTTGTCAGACGCATTTTGACATTATTGTGTAGTTATTTATATTTCACTGGTACCATTTAATTTCTGTGCAAGGTACTGTAGAACTTGGACAAAGAAAATGTTGAGAGTAGCCCTAGTTATGAAGCGCTCGTTTACAAGAAAGGTTCTGTAGTTGGGAGTAGCCATTAGCAGAGAATTGTATTAGATCATAATTTGATTCTTCTCAAGTTATGGCAAAGCTTACTAGCACTGCACATATTTCATGTGCAGTGCTAGTAATGTAGACTGTGACTTAAGTCAGTTTTGAGAATGCTTCCACATCCATTCTTAAATACTCAGTTATAAACATAAAGTACTGGAATCAACCTGTTTTGTATATACCAAATGGATATAATATGTATATGTGTGTTATGTCAAGAAGGTAATGATATTCCTAACAAATGAATATTTATTTGAAAGCAATCTGGAATATTCGTATAATGTAATTTTATTCTATACTAATTATTTATTGAGTATATATTTTAATCTACTTAATCTTATTTATATCAAACTTGTAAAATAGTGTCATTGATTTTTATCTGTCGTCTTGATCACTTTTAGGGATTTCTCTTCTTACATGCTGAGAATTGTAAAGTACATGGTATGTATATATAAAATAAGTCCGATAAATTAAAATAAGATAGAAAACATTCCACATATAATGGACGCTACTATGTATTGCTCTTAGGTACAGCGTAGTAACCTCTAAAGAAAAAGTTCTTTTTATAACATTCATAATCATGAAATCGAGGGAGGATGAGAAAAATGACAAGTAGCGCTGTAATAGACATTTCCACCCACTTTTTCAGTGCTTTGGGTATTCAGGTTTTAACTTCATTAATCATGTCATATCTCATTTTGTTTTCCCATGGCTCATCTTTCTCTATATTATTACTTTTCCATTTGTCTTAAATATACCCAGCGATTTCATGCCCATAAATATGTCAAATATGCATTGTATTGTGAATATTCATAAGACATAATTTTCCAAGAGGTTTAATGGGATGAACATAACAATGGTGGTTTCACTCATGTGGCATTGTTCAACCCTTTTATTGGTGGGTTTTATTCACAGAAACCTTTTTCTGTTACATAGTCCATGGTAATGTTGAAAAACCAAAAACAGTTAACTCCAAATGTTGACAAATGGCAGACCATGTGTAATTCACTGATCTCTTTAACACTAGACCAATAGGACCTAGGACCAATATTCCCAAACGATAAATCTGTATATGGAAACAGTTACTTTTCAAAACTGACTTAATAGTGAAGAATCATGTTTTGTTATAATTTGCAGTTGATTTTGTACTTAGTATTGAATGTGGTGGTGGCAGTAATGATAAAATGTGTTTAATGACAATACAACTAGGAGATTTAATATTTAATTGCATTGTAGTACAAATATAAAATGGCTGATTAGGAAAATGTACACATGCACATTTGATTCATTCTGTTTAGTACATTATGATCTTAGGTAATGAATAGGTGTGAACAAAATGCTACTGAGAAAAGCAACAGTTTCTTGGTTAGATATCCTCACTATTCACACACTCTTGGTAGTGTGGTGTTACTGAGACTATAAACTGTCACAAATTTCAACATACGTGCATAGACACACAAAACAATAGGTATTGTTTTTGCACACACAGCTGACAGTGCAGTTAGCAGATGTTTTGGGACTATTTAAGATATTCATTGTTGCTGTCAGATGTAAGATTAGCAGCCTGAACTTTTAACCTAACCTTACAAAATTAACTTTAAATAAAAATCATTATCAGTTGTCAGGTACATGTTACTGACAGTAGTGTACTAGGAGAAAGGCTTCGAAGTAACACAATACAGTATTGTAACAAGTGTATTTGGAAAAGGTTGATACTACCATACCATATAATAACCTTAATTTGAATATCCATTGAGTCTTTCTGGGATATTTTGTTTTATTTCAGTCCTGTTATAAGATTGTAAGATTTTTTTTTCCCCTTTTTCTTTCCAGTGTAGTTTATATTAACAAAAAGAGTATCAAGATTATATACACTGTATGTTTAAAATTTGGCAGTGTATTACAATGACATATTCCTTACATTGGTTTTATTTCATCTATACAAGTTCATTGATGAAGAACTTAATTCATGTTGTATGAATGGCATAAAGATCAACCAAGTAGGATGTATCAGCTGAAATTATTGTTTGCTGTGTGAAGGCCGGTTTGTTAGAACAAGCTACATCATGACAATAATTTTGTTTTGGGCAAATACTGTGTTCCATCTACAGTGAGTAAATTGCCATATTGTTCTGTCACTTTGTTTTTAACTGTGTAAGTTATCAGAAAGGAAAATTAGGAGACTTTAAAAGAAGCTGTTTTGATTAAGACAGTGATCATCTTTCTGAGTGATGACAGTTTTGAATGTGAAAGTTAAATAAGCAAATAGTGTGCATTTTCATAATTGTGTACTTTGTTCTTAGATCTGAAATACGTAATTTAGACTTGTGTACATAGAGGTTTTTGTTGGTTGGTGCATATGGAACCAACACCTAGTAAAACTGTAATGATGGAAGCAGCAGACTCAACTGAAGTGTACTTTGTCATATGTTTGATCTAATACAATGCAATGCTTCTGAGTTTTCAATGGAAAAGTGAGTATTTATTTAAAACCCATGACTGCATTTTATCATGAACACCAGTAAACCTACATTTTAAATCATGGTATTCCTTTAAGAATTCGTGGCCGTATATATTCGCATAGCAGTAACAAGACGACTTGTGTTCAGAAAGTATCAAATTGAATCTTGGATGATGTGATGTCCCTCATACTGTCAGGATTTTTATTTCCTCAGCCCTTCACAATTGAAGTACCAGAGCAGTACCTTAAAACAGGCTTTGACACCTGTCTTCCCATCCAGTTCATTGTACATACCTATTTCCCTTTAATGCTGAATAACTTCTGCATCTGATAACAGTGCTATACACAAAACGTCTGAACAGGATTTAACCTGTTATTTGTTGACTTTAATTTTTTTTCTGTGGCAGGTTTTGAAAAGCTGCAGACTCTGTGAAGGTATGACAGTCCATTTTAAGATACACATTATATCACATCAAGCATCAGACATACACATTAAATTCCAGTTCAAGTTTGGTTCATTGTCCATACTTAATGATGAAATTTGCATGTGTAACTCCACCTGGAGTAAAAATCCACAAGTTCTATTGTGTACTTGCTGCCTTCAAAACCAAATACAGTAACTGCATATATTGTGTTATGTGTGTGGTTTTTAATTTTCATTAAGTTAGTTTATCTGTATATAGAGGTTAGCAGATGATATAGAATTATAATTATGTAGCTTCCTGCTAAATTTCTGTGTACAATTTCCAATTTTACAACCTCAAAGTTTAGCTCTTATCACATTTAACATCCCACCTAAAGTAATTCATCAGTTGCTGCTGCTAAATATAACATCTGACAATCAGAATCAGTAGTTATCTATGGCCTGAATTACCTACTGATAGGAATGGATTATCAACACAGGTGTTTCAAACAATTGGTGCTACTGAGTCAGGCCCACCCATGCAACATGATCAGTGATCATCTGTTACAGTTCAACATAAAATGAATGCAACAGAAGTCCTTTGAAGAGTATTGCACCTTAGAATCTTCATAACACTGCTGGGAAAGGACTATTGCTAATTCAGATCTTGAAAAGATGTTTGTATCACAGTCTGTTCATAAAACGATCAACAATTGGGCTAAGAAAACTTCAAAGTAATGACATTTTGATACAGGACAGCTGATTTTGTAAACAGTACTTCGAATTTACTAATATTATTTTTTCTGATTGGTGAAATTTGATATATGACGTGAAGTCGGCGCATGCGTATGTATCAATCCTTCGGCCATATTGGTGTGTGGTATTCGTTCGCCAAGTGATCCGAAGAAAGAAAGGTATTTTTAATTATAATATATATTCTCCGAACATATGTTTCGTTCCCTCTAAATATATTCGGATCACAAGATATATTTATGTAAATATAATGTCGTTACTTGTCACCACAAGACAAGGGAGTTCGTTGAAGTATTGTGGGATTGCCACCTCGGCTTCGTTCACTATGTGGCCTCGACCAAATGACAAATTATCGTGTATTTGATTGGTATTTGATGTTTATAAAATATTTTCGTTCCAGAGACAATGAATGCATGCGATCGCATTTGCGTTTTTTATGATTTGTTTTCAGCTCCTTCCCCAGTTATATGTATGATATATATGAAATCTTCCATATCGTTACCTGTATTACATTTTTTAAGCTTGGTGTTATTTTGGGGGACCTCCATCTGTACCATGCTTGATTACAGGTTCATGAAGAGTAGGGCACCATATGTTTCGTGTTTTCTTTGTGTTTGTCATAAGGGGGTTATATTAATTACATTTAATAACCTGGCCATTTGTAGTATGGACTATATTTAACTCATGCCCTAAATTTTAATAGGTTAAAGGAGCCTAATTTTATATATAAATTTCGTTTTCAGGCAGATTTTGAAGATGACTGACTCCATGAAGTTTGGTCCAGAGTGGTAAGCAGTTTGACCTATGTTTTTGTTTTAGTGAGTTATAATTTTACACAAATGTTTGGAAGTTTCTCATGATTTTAATATTGTCTGATCAAGTCAAGAAGTTGAGCATTTTAAATTTTATAATTTCTATCAGAGGAATTATTGTCTAAGGAAAGAAATGTAATCATGTTATCATCTTCTGAGACATTGTTAATTGAAGTTTATGTTGTTTGTAGTGTTAGTTTAATGTAAAACGTAGCACTTATGTTCAGACTTTTTTCCGTTAAATGAATCATATATCTCAGGGTGCTGCATCTAAAAAGTTACTTATTGATGCTTTTCTGTCTAAGATGCTGACAACATCATGAAATAAACCATAAATAAATAAATTAAAACATATCTTGGCTGTCTTTCATTATTTATGCAGAAGAAAGTAAACACTTGCATCATTCAAGGTGTGGTCATTTTCAGCACTTGGTATAGTCATAATCATAATTTTCATCAACTGATATGTATTAAATTTAAATGATGCTAGAAGAGGAAGAATTGCCAAATGCTTAATTGAAGGCACTGTGTGGATGTTGCATACAATGAAAAGAGAAGATACAGTACCAGTAGCAGTATTTTTCTTTGTTTTAAGAAGTGTAATCAAACACATACCTTCTAGAGCTGCTTTAGTTTGCTGCTGTAACATCCATTGACTTTGAAGCCCAGTGAATTGTCGTATAGGTCATTTGAGAAGACATGAAACTTGACTTTCAGTCTTCCTGGTTGTTACATATCCCAGTCATGGAACCTGAGGCTGATGACTGCACCTTTCTGTATGATTTCCACTTCATCCATTTATCATTCTTTTATTTGAATTTGTGGTAGAAGCAGCATAAACCTGATATTCAATATATGGACACTTGCATTGAAGAGTAAATTTTACTTTTATATAATTGAAACTGAATGTAAGTAAAAAATTCAAGACTTTTATACCAAAATAAATTCCTAAAAGTATGGAAAGATTAATATTTATAAAATGTTCCGTTCTGTCAGACCACCCCAAAAATATGAGAATGATAATTGATGAAAAAGAATTCAACACAACATTCATCATGTGTTTTGAAATCCTTAGAATTTTGCTGCTAGGCATGTAGAAATATTAACAGGAATGGTTGTGAGTGGATCGTCAGGGTAGATCCAGTATAAATGTTTTGTCTGAATCAGTGGGGAGCAACCTGTGGGCTTCCTTGGCTAATTTCCAAACGAAATATTAAACATGTTCTGAGATACATGATTTGAAGCTTTCACGGTGATGTAATTCAATAAAATCTTCTCAGGCAATCAGCCACATCAACTGGTTGAAACGGCTGTTTGCCCAAGATGATTTTATTGATGTTCTGAGATATTGAAAAATAGGTAGTAGACAGGCTTGTCACTGATGTTCTTCAACCCATGAAATTAAAATAATAATAAGCAGTAATAAGCTTTCTGAATTTGTTCTCGTGCAGAAAGAGATAGCTTTTATCTGTGATTGTGTGGTCACCCAGCCAGGCAGGTGTCAGACACCATGCCCACAAAAAGGTAATTGACCTCGGACTATTTTGACGACAGTGTTAAAGTAATCTGTTATTATTGGCTGAAGGGAAATAAAAGGAATATATAGTTTTCTGTCTCCATGATATGATGTGAACTAACATATGTAAAGCCTTCTTAAGCAGGCTGTGAATTTTGAAAATTTTCAGACATCAATGTAACAGTATTTTGGAACAGTAGTACTTAATGATATGCCATGGCAATGTTGTGCTTAATATTTTTTTGAGTCGTGGTGTAGCTTTTTTGCCCGTTTGTTCGAACTTTACCGTGTTTCTGTCTGGTTTATATTGTTAATAGAAGCGTCTTTTGTGTGGTAGGTTGCGCAACCTCTCTCAGGATGCTTGTACACAGCCCGCTATATCGTCGGCACCACGATACCAGCTAGCTGACCACAGGTATGGACGGGAGGAAATGCTGGCACTATTTGACCACATGGTGAAGGCACCGGATCCTCTTACCAGCATCTCGTCACTTTATGTGGAGAAAACTCAAGAACCGTTGGCGTTGCAACAGATGACAGAGGACGAAACAGTAATTTCACTTTCATTGTACAAATTACCTATATGTTGACACTTTGCTGGATCAGTCTTGAAAGGGAAAAGGGTGATGCCTATTTGAGGGTTCATTTACAAATATAACAGTCACAAGTTGTTATTGGTACACACCCTAAAGAAGGAAGCATATTGTTTTTGCAAAAAAGTAGTGATTGTTATGACTGTGTAATGGACACCACTGTTATTATTGAATTACAGTGAAAATATGACTTAGTTCCAGGCATCCACCATGTTGTTATTCTTTTCTAATAGCTGTTTGATGCTTATGCATGTTATTGTATTAATGTCCTTATTAAGATCCATACTTTTCTTAATTTTTTATGTTTATTTTGTAATCAGACTCCCTGACATTTTAAATTCCTATCTGTCTTGGTCACATGAGGCTGCATTGATTGATGATGTGTTCGTGCTCATCGCATGTTACAGCAGAAAGGAAAGAAGTCATCGTTCTTTCTTTGTTAGTTGTGACTATGCTGAACTTTTCAGGTTGCCCATATTTAGAGCAAGTCTTTCTTCCAGAAATTAATGGCTTTGGGGAAATAAAGCCGTCAGATTGGAACTAAGTCCAAAAAGAATCTATATTTGTCACTGTTTTTTAAATGTTTTGTTGTTGTGAGGAAGTCATCTCAGTTGTGATGTTATACTTAGAAACTGCACTGAGATGGGTCGTCTGGCATCATCCTTCATATTTATATCTGGATTGACATTCTGTATAACAGTACTGAAGTAAAATTATCTTTTTATTTCTCCAATGTTGAAAACTCCATACTCGCAATTTTTGTGGTGAATTCGCGTTGATTTCATGTACATACGTAAACAGGAATTCTTGAGATTACAGTACTAAATGTATATCTTAACCTGTGAATATTGATTGTGATTCTTTTTGTTTGGTTAGTAAAGCTGTAAATCCTACAAGATAATATTATTAAAAAAAGATAATGTTGGACATTTGATT